TAAATAGACCCCTGTCTATATAACACTGTCCCTTCTTCATTAGCTTCATTCTGGGATATCTCTTTTTTATATTTCAGGTTTTAGCTTAAATGTCACTTCCTTTAATGAATACTTCTTGACCATCCTCTCTAAATAGGTTCTCTCTTTCCATACACCACTCTTATTTTTTTTCAATCTCACCACTCTGAATTCTTCTGTAGATAATTGTCTTTTTGCAATAAGAAGATTTACTGGACAAATATTATAGATATAGATAATGTAATGAAAATGCTTGCCCTTATGCAGTCTTACTTTATAGAATATTTCAGAAATATAACATTCAAGATTTTAGTTTTTTGTCAAAAAAAAGGATGGAATAAAATCAAATTACCAAAATTTTTAAATAAAAACAACAAAATACAAACCTAAGTATTGTACTAGTTTCAACTTAAATAAATTATTGTCAAGTTTCTAAAAAATGTTTATAAATACTTGTCATCAATAGTCCATTCTGATCTCATTGGTAACATTATCAAAGTTTGAGACCAGCTTTGCTCTGAAAACTGCACTTTGAACAATAATGATTATTGTCATCCTTTTAATTTGGAATTGGTTTAAGGTACTTTACCTCAAAGAAATATACTATTCTTTATTGGACAGGATTAACCTGTTCAATGGTTATTTCCATTTCTAAGACACTAAAAACCAATGTGACTAATAATACCAGATATTACCTAAACTAACTGCCTATCCATCTCCTATCTCCACCCCTGCATATCTCTGCTGGAGAAAGGGTCAATAGAGCCTTAATTAAGAACAATTCAGGGTTCAGGATTCTTCTAGCTGCTCAGCATTTTTAGTTATCAGACTGGTGAGGACTTGAGTCTTAGTACCTGATCAGGAAAACTAAGTAGCCATGGTTATGAATAGAAACTGGAGGATGAGAAAATGTTCTTTCCCAATTAAATCTTTTTTTCTTTTTTTGTTTCCAGCACATTTGCTGGGGTTTGTAGGGGTTGCTGATAGTGTGGAGAAAAAGTCAAATGTTGCCTCTGGGATGTTAGAGAGAAATCAATCGGATGCTGAGATTTTAATTTCTAGCTAGCTGGGTTAGTCTTTTATCAAAGTGCTGGACACATCACTTCCATCACAGCTAGTTTAACTGCTCTAGTTTGTCTTAAAATATTTTGCCTTGCTTTTATTCTCATCCATTCCAACATCCTCCTCCTTCTCAGAAATGTGTTTTGTTCATTCCTTTGTCTCAACAGCAACCAGAGCTTGGATGTGGGAAGTTTTCTATCCATCTTGGCCACAGATATGTTGATAATTCCTTTTTTTATAAATATATTCATTTGTTATACCTTAGTGCATAGGTATGTTAAAATTTTGTTTGTGATGCATGCCTATAACTCTAATACATTAGAAAGAAAGGAGGATCACAAGTTCTCTTACATAGCCTGAGATTCTGTCCACAAAACAAAACAAATAATCCAGCCTAAGTCTGTAACCCTAGCTACTCATGAGGCTGAAAACTGAGGATTGTGGTTTGAAGCCAGCCTGGGCAGAAAAGTCTGTGAAACTCTCATCTAGAAAAAAACTACTCAGAAAAAGGTATGTTGCTGTAGCTCAAATGGTAGAATGCTATTAGCCTTGAGCAAAAGAAGACTAGGAACAGTGCCCAGCCCCTCAGTTCAAGCCCCAGGACCACCACAACAAAAACACAAAACAAAAATCAAATTTGTTATTTGTGCACTTCAGGAGTGCTCATGTTTTCTGACATTAGTATAAAATTTTATAATAGAAAGGAAAAAAAAGAAAGACTTTTAAGACCTTCATTGAGAGGTAACTTAACATCCTACCTAAAAGGTTTTCAATTATCTGAACATGATGAAATTCGACATGACAGTTGGGTGTCTCCAAAAGCAAGTGAATGCCTTAAGGAAAATTTCTTCAAATATGAGATCCCACACAACATCAAAGGCAATTTCAATTTTAGTCCAGTTTAACTCCAGACCTACTTCACAGTTGAAAATGTAAACTTTGTGTATATTTTGGGCTATGTATTTTTCTAACATAACTAGTCATTTTAGCTCTGCGCTAGTGGCTCACTAATCTTAGCCACTCAAGAAGCTGAGATCTAAGGATCACAGTTCAAAGCTACTCTGTGCTGTAAAGTCTATGAGACTCTTCAATTAACTACCAAAACCCCTCCAAAAAACTGGAAGTACAGCCAGTAGAGCTGGGGTCCCTTGAGCAAAATAGCTCAGGGACAGTGCCCAAGCCCTGAGCTTGTCCCAGGACCAGCACTGAAAAAAAGGGCCATTTTCTATTTTGGAAGCACTAGATTAAACTGGCTTCTCAAGAATCTTCCTACTGTAAATAATTTGTTATTCACATGAATTTCTTGGTAGGTCTTTAGACTTGAAATTCTAGCACTGAACCAGCCACCACACTAGATCCTGAGTTTGAGTGATTGACCTTAGCTAGAGCTATTTACCTTAGCTAGAGCTATTTACCTCATAATGTCAAATATTCTGGCACACTACAATTTCTTTCATTACCTGCCCCCCCACCCCCCTTTTACTTTCCTTCCCAAAGCCAGACTGGAATGTTTCCACTAAAAGGACCTGTATAAAAAAGGTAATTCTAAAGCTAGCTACCTTGGTTGTGCCTTTAATTCTAGCCACTTGGGATGATGAGGCGGGAAAATTGAAAGTTTGAGGATAACCTGACTACTTAACCAGACCTCATCTTAAAATGCAAAATCAAACCAAACTAAAACAGATTCTAGAAACAGTATGATTAGCTGTTGCTACCTCCATCTTCTTTTCAAGTTTTGGAACTCCAGTGAGAATTAGTCACAAATTGTCTTTGGTTCTTTTTGCTTTGTTTTGTATTTTTATTATTTTAATTCAGAGGGTGAGATAAACACAGATTTAGAAATAGATAGCTACTGTTACTGGATGCTAACAACTTCAAAATGTTTGATTCTGTTAATATTCTAGCTAAGACTTTGACTTGTTGATCTTTAATACTACATAAAAATAATTTTCATGTTCTCTTATATTGGCAAGTTTAGGTGGTAAGATAAGAACTGTATTTTCCAGTTTCAGTTCTCTACTTGTTATTCCAGTTATTCCACATGCTGTGGTTTCACAATGCAAGAAATATTGAAGTAGAGTGATAAGACAACATGGGGCCTAATTCAGGTTATAACTGACACCAAATTCCTAGGCTGAAAGTGATTCTAAATGAAAATACCCTTTCCTATTCCGGAGTCTGTTATGTCTTTTAATTCAGAGAATGGAAGGTTTATACATGTTCTCATAAACTATATAAGATCACTCAGACATCTGGAAGACCAAGTTGGGACTTTGTTGCACAATACTGGTCATATTCTGAGCACAACTTGAGAACTAGAAATCTTGGAGAGAGTTTAAAAGAGCCACAATGATTATTAATAACCCTGACAAGTTGTAGATAATTACAGGATGAATTTAATAGACAGAAATACAGAGTAATTTAGGGGAAGAGAAAAAGAAAACACTTAAGTACAAGGGAGGAGGCTTGACTTTATGGAAAAATGTGGGAATCTGAAACTCTTTCAGGACAACACGAATTAGCACGTATTTGCTTCATTTTTCTTAAGAAAACATCAAAAAAAGTAAAGTGTCTATAACCCCATTGCATTTAAGAAAAAAGACAGCCATCCTTTAGTAATTTCTGCAATTATTTACCAAACAATTATATGCTAGACACTTCTGGATGCTGCGATAAAATAGGGGAAAAGACCAGCTTCCTTGAGCTCACCGAAGTGTGGTAAACGACAGAGCTAGTGACTTTGAATAGCCTTTAGTTTGTATTCCGTAGCCAATTTCAAATATAGCAGATATCCTGAGCTTCTTGAGGTAGAGATCCTATTTTTACATTTTGGATCCCATTCAGCGCCTAGCACACAGCACCTTGTAAGCAATCAACACGGATTAAGGGGGGGGGGGGGTAAAAACAGCCCCCCCCCCCAAATGATAAATTTTGAAAGGATAACTCATGTGTCTGTGGCCACCAAATACATGGATCGAAATCTGCAGGGTTTTTCCCTTCCAAGCTTAAGTAAATATTTGCGAACCTATTACGTGCAGAGCAGCTTTCTAAACAATGCTTTGTGTTAAAAAAAAAAAAGGTATGGTGGAGAAGGATTCAAATTGCACATCATAATTGGAGTGAAGAAAACCAAACCCGAAAGGCAGGAAGGCCTTTCCTTCCCTTGTGAATTTGTAGTTGATGATGATGAGTTATTTATTTATTTTAGCAGAAAGACAAAAACGCTTAGGCAGAAGCCCCAGTGAGGCGGGAGGAGGCATCCCCAGGGCTGGGGCGCCTATGCCGGTTCGCGTGCACCGAGCTCGACTGGGCAGCCCGGCGGGCGCGGCTCCTCTCCCCCCCCCCGCCCCCGCCCCACTCCCCGCCCCGCCCCGCGCCGCGCCACCCACCCGGCGCCCAGTCTAAGAGCCGACTAGGCTCCCCCCCGCTCCCGAGGAAGACCAGGCGCCGCAGACGCCCCTGGTGGGGTGGGGGTCACTGGACTCCCGCCACCCCGCGGGGTCCTGTTTCTCCTGAGGTTCCCCCTGACCATTTGGGCGGCCACTCTAGAAAGGCGGTGGAAGAGGGCGCGAGCCGGACGCCAGGCGCACCGGGTCTCCAGTCGACTCAGCCGCCCACTCACAGCCCGGCCTCGGCGCAGGGACTTTGAGGCGCCCGCGCCCCTTTGTCGCGGGATCTCCCGCCCCAGCAGGCCGGACGCCCAGGCCTCGCGGTATCGAGCCACCGTCCGCCCCGCCTCTTCAGCCTCCTGTCGGCCCCGCCCTCTCTCTTGCCCCTCCCCCGCTCCTGCCTCGCTACCCCGACTATCTCCTCGCGCTCCGGGCCCGGCACGCGCGCTGCGCCAGGCCGCCGCCGCCACTGCCGCCGCCGCCGCCACCGCCACCGCCACCGCCGTCGCCGCCGAGCGTTCCTCCGCTGTGCCTGGCTTCCAGTTTCGGGCCGGAACCGGAAGTGAAGGGGGCGGGGCCGGCGGAGGCCAGGAGACCGAAAACGCGGCCGAGCCCGGAGCCCCGGAGCTGGAGCCAGAGCCTGGACCAGAACTTGGCCGCCGCCTGCAGTTGCCATCGCCGCTGCCGCCCGCCGCCCTTTTCCCCGCGCCACTGCCGCTTCGGCCGCCGCCGTCGCGAGCTCGGTTGCCAGTGGTCCGCGGACTTTGGGCGTCCGGGTTGAAGGTCGGTCCGGACGTCGGACCCAGCTCGGTTCCCGGACTGTCCGGGCGGCAGCGGACGCCGCCGCCGCCGCCTCGGGGTCGCCTCGGCCAGGCGTTTTGTTCCCGGAGAACCGGGAGGCGAGCGGAGCTGACAGTGCTTCTGACAGTGATTTAAACCCGCTTTTGTTGTTGTTGGCTTTCGTTGTTCGGTTCCGTGTGTGGTGCGTGTGTGTGGCGGGTTTCCTCCGTGGTACCTTTTTATTGTTGTGGTTTTTTTTCCCCCCTCTTTAAACCCGCGAACGTTTTGTTTTGTTTTTTTTTTTTAATTTTTTTCCTTTTTCCCCCCCTCGGGGCTTCCGAATATGTTTTATGACGGTTGATTTTACACCAGGAGGTTTGTTTCCAAGGAAGACCTAGGGAACTGGATATCTAGCGAGAACTTCCTACGGCTTTCCCCGGCGCCTCGGGAAAATGGGAGCTGCTGCAAAGTTGGCGTTTGCCGTCTTTCTTATCTCTTGTTCTTCAGGTAGGTGCCGGGAGCGCGGCGGCGCGGCGGGGCTGCGGCGGAGGGGTGGTCGGCGCGGCGGGGCGAGCTCCCGGGCGGCCCGGGGAGGTGTCCGCGCGCCCGGAGCAGCCCCTCTGCTGCTGCTGCTGCTGCTGCTACCCACCGCTCCCCTCCCTCCCTCCCCTCCATCGACCCCCCCCCCCCCCCCCCCCCAGTTTTCGATGGTGATCTGGAAGCCTCCATGAATTTTTTTTTCTCTTTCTTGTTTTGAGTTAGGTTGACGAACTGAGCGTGAGTGAGCGCTGTGTTGTTGTGGAAGTGAGAAAGTCATGGTTTGTGGCCCTCACAACTCGATGACAGCGCCGGTGGGGTTGCGGCGGAGCCGCAAATACCACAAGTGACAATTTATGCAAAGGTTGAGACCCAAAAAAAGGAGTGTTCCGAAATGTCAGGGAGCTCTCAGCTCCTTCAAAAACAAGGGCGGGTTTTGGTCGCCTTCTAATTAGTGCTTCCCTGGTGAATATCTCGGCAGCCGATCAAGTTAGTTGCTACTTAATTTTGACCGTGAGAAACAATGCATCCTATCAGCAATTTAATCTGGGTCCCTCCTCCTCCCCCCCCCCCCCCCTTTTTTTCAACTTCATTGTCCGGCAATGTTAAAAATAGTTGTAGGTGTTGTTGGAGTATTAACTATAACCCAGTGCAGAAGAGGTATGTCACTGTGGGTCGGTTCTGTGCTGGCTTTCAACCACCATTTATGTGCTCTTTTCAGGCATAGATTTTGCTTACCTACGGAATACTTATTTCATAGGCTTTGTATTGAAGCATTGTTTTCAGTTTAGAACAGCCCAAGTGAAACTGTTCTTACTGTTAAATTTGATATTCTTATGAGCCATATTTTAACCCAAGGTTGGAATTTGATATTCTTATGAGCCATATTTTAACCCAAGGTCTGGCCATTTTATGTTTAAAATTTTGATTTTTGTGAGGACGTTCTATGGTTGCAACCAGTGGTTGGAAAAACTAGTCCTTTGTATTTGAAATTCTGTAAATGCCTACATCTAGCTGAACGGTGGGCAAATGTACGTAATTGGAGAGTTGATCTGATAGAAGAAACAGTTTAGAAATCACAATAGGTGTGTTTATTTTAAATATCCAATATCTAGCTACTAGGTTGTGATATAGAATTATAGAGGCGAAAACAAATGGACAGGTTCCATGTCTTTATCTCATTTGCCACAGGGAAATTAGAGGGTGGTAGTCTTTTCTTTGTGTACCTCTGGTGTGTGTGTATGTGTGTGTGTGTGTGTGTGTGTGTGTGTGTGTCCAGCTTGCCCATCCCCCCACCTTTTAATAGAATCTTTGGTAATGTATAGAATTTTGCTGAATGGTACATTTCCTTGTGGTTAATAAATGGATAAAGTCTAGTCTTATGTCTGTAGTGGTATTGATCAGTTCCGGGTGGGCTGAATGTGTTGTGAAATGGCGATCATTGCCAGAGATTAACCAAAAGAATCATGTCTGTATAAATGGAAGAAGGAACATGCTTAAGGCTTGCTGACAGTTCTTTTTATGCACGTTTGGAGAAGAAGCTAAACAATGGTGTGTCTGAAATGAATGAAGGCCTTAATAACATTAAACATCTTGGTTTGGTGGAATTACTTAACCATGTAGTTTCTAATCTTTCCTGTAGTACTCTTTCTCCTCTGTCCCTGTATGTTCTGGCTGTTGCACTAGTCCTGTACAAATTTCTTTTCTGTTCTGTCCTTGAGGAGGAGGGGCATCATGGCCATAGACCAAGAGATTCTGGCCATTATTGCCTCCTCAACCTACTTGTGTCACATTAATTGGTGAAGGAGATTATTCCTGAACAGTTTGAAGGTATTACTTCTGAAGAAGCAGGCTGTCAATACATATCTTACAACTTCCTCTGCTTGTCTTGGGTGTAAAAAGAATTGAACATTACTTTCTTGAGGATTATTTTCATTGGGCCAGGAGGTTAATAGCGAAAATTTGAAATTTTGTTGTTACATATCATATAGAGTTAGTCCATTTAAACTAAGTGAAAATTAAGTATTATTGCATAGTTTTTTTTTAATGATCATTCCTTATTTAACAAAAATGTATGATTCTACTGAAAATAATTGAAATAATTGTAAAAGCCTTATTCTATATTTGTGCATGAAGGTTTTTAGTATTTAAAATGTCTGATTTTAAAAAGGGCTTTGTTATGGATCAAATGCACTCTAAAAATGGATTAATGTACTCCTCCTATTAATTGATTTTTCTTGTAATATGTAATTTGACAGTAGAAGCATAAGGATGGATTTTTTTTTTAGAATGAGAATTTAAGACATTTAGCAAGTTATCAGATTTTTTTTATAAGTTTGTGAATATTTGACTTTTAAAATATTAAATTGGAAACAGAAAGGAAGAGTTTTATTGTGGATGTACAGGATGGATGTTTACTGTTTCCTTTAGTATATTGTGGACTTGGATTCCAGTTTCCATCCCATGCTATATATTCCGGAGACCAGTTATACATACTATTCCTGTCAGATATAGTCAGTATATAATTTGCTCCTGGAGCTCATTCTAGGGGAAAAGGTTTCAGTTTTGCTGTCATCCTGGAATACCTTCAGATTCCTTTTGATTTTGAATTTTTTAAAATTCTTTTATCCCTTCTCAGATTCTGTTTCAAAACATAGTTCTGCTTCTCAATTATTTTTTTTAAACATAGTTAATTTGTATTTTTTCTCACAATTTGTTAAAATAGTATGAATTTAATACTTGCTCCTACTATTAAGTTTTAGCCTGCTTGAGTGATGCATCTATTGTGGTATTTGAATTGTACTGAAGTAGGTGAAAAGTCCTTGTGTGGTTACTATATTGTTGAAAGAAGAAGTGGAGATATAGTAACTGTGTTACTTTTTCTTTAATTTAGACAATACTCTGTGTGTGTGTGTGTGTGTGTGTGTGTGTGTGTGTGTGTGTGTGTGTGTGTGTGTGTGTGTGTGTGTGTGTGTGTGTGTGTGTGTGTATGTGTTGGTAGTGGAGGGAGAGTTGGGAGTGCAAAGAATCTTCTGGGACTCCTGAACTTTGGCTAACAAGTGATAGATATTAATTGCTTTGTTTTCTAAAAGGCAAAGTCTCTTAAATGCCTGTGATCAAATCCAAATGTAATATGTTGAAATGTGCATACCAGAGAAAAACAAAACAACCTCCCCTCCCCCACTTTATTTTTAAAATTTCTTCTGTTTATGATCCAACCCAGTAGTTCACAAGCTAGGGTGATTTTTGCCATTACTTTTCAGGGGACATTTGGAGACATCTTTTGTTAGTCCCAACTTGGAGAGAGAGGGCAAGGAAATTGCTACTGACATCTGATAAGGTGATAACTATTCTGCAGTACGCAGGACAGCTTTCCACATAAAAGTAGTATCTGGCTCAACATGTCAATACTGTTGAGATTGATAAACCCTGTTTTAACCTCTTTTTTAAAATTTTTTATTTTATTGTAAAGGTGCTGTACAGAGGGATTACAGTTACATGAGTGTGGTAATGAGTACCTTTCTTGTTGAACATTGTTACCCTCTCCATTTTTTTTCTCCTATCCCTTCCTTTCCCTGGTTTTAAACTCTTTATTTTGAAATAATCAGTGAGTAAACTCATTGTTTTTAAGAATGTAGCAAAACTCACCAAATGAAATCCCAATAATCTCAAAACTGTTTGAGTTCTATGTCTATTTTAAGACTACTTTATTGCATTTTTATTCTTATAAGTACTCTTTTTTTCCTCATCTTTGTTTTTTTTTATAAATCAGCGGATGAATTTATTCTTTCATGCTTGCTTATATTGACACTTGTCTTTCCTAGTGTTACCTCAGGTTCTAGTTAGGTAAGGTTGACAGCATTTAATAACAAATATCAAATGATTCCAGATCATTGCATTTGATATTGGGATCATTGATATATCATCATTCTGTTTTTGGTTTGGTTTTGTTTTGGTGCTGGTTGTGTGGCTGGCTTGAACTCAAGGCCTGGCACTGTCCCTGAGCTTTTTTGTTCAAAGCTAGTACTTTACCACTTGACCCACAGCTCCACTTCTGGCTTTTGGTGGTTAATTAGAGATAAGAGTATCACAATAGACTTTCTTGTCCATGCTGGGTTTGAACCATCATCCTTGGCTAGGATTATAGGTGTAAGCCATCAGTGCCTGGCACACCATTACTCTTTATGTTGTCAAACTCATTGTTTCTTCTGTTTTCTTTCATTATAGACCTTTTTCATTTTTTTTCTCCTTTGTTTACTCCTTCCTTCTTTTTATGCTTTACTGTAGAATGACTTGATTGTGGGACCCAGTTTATTGGTAAACATCAAAGGTACCTTAAGAAGATTTACTCAAGGTTTAAGTGAAAAAAGACTGAAAGTGGAATCTGAGCACACTATCTTTTTCTACTGTTGTTTTGCTTGCTGGTTTCTAGACTACCAAACATAAACATTTGGGGTAGGGGGGAGGGAGTAGTGTTCTTTGGAAATCAGTGAACTTCTATTGAACTTTTCTTTTTTTATGTATTCAGGGTTTTCCTTAACTCTTTAATGCTTTTCAAAAGTCTGTGCCTCATATTATTATTCATTCATCATCTCTGTTGAAACCAAACTTTGACCACCTGAGAACATATTTACTGGTACTATGGGCCCACATTAGTCTTCCTTTGCATATATTTTATTCTATTAGGTTGTAACAGTTATGTCTAGACAGAATATTGATTTCAAATTGACTATTGAACATGAAAGTTCCAGGAATAAAGTATAGAGGAAAAATATAAGACAAGTGCTGTAAGTAGCAATTGACTTTTCCACTGTCTTTTGACTAGATTTCTGTTAGTCACTATCATGTACTCAGTGCATGTAGTGATTAGGTTTTGTTTAATAAAAGGACTTAAAGGAATTAGGTTGTTGTCTTTGAGGTTGCATTTAATCAGCTGTTAGAATGGTGGGCTTAGGAGGAAAAATGGGAGG